GACAGCATATAATTTCAATTAATTTGCTGTAGAAGGATTGTTCATAAAACTCCCACAAAGGCTGGAAGTCTAACCGTAGACAGGCCTACCCAGAACTCATGCTGTCACACATAAGTGGTTCTAGTCATAGTTAACAGCTGAAGAAGTAAGATACAAATCAATACAACAGTTAAAGGGCACCCTCAGGAAGATCTGCGGAACGGGGCTCTGCAAGAAGTGCCTTGCAATGCCAAGAGTTAGACTACAAATAGTGTGTTTGGATATATCTACCCTTGTCTTAACCTCACAATGCCTTAAAAGCTACTGAACATTCTTAAGCAACGCAGTCTTAACATACAACGACTATCTAGAGCACAGCTCTTAATAATTCACTGCAAAAACAAGAGTATATGGAAAGAGGGTCCACATGATGTGTTCTTAATTTGGTCTCAGTCCATATCTTAGTCACTTTCCCAGAGATGCTTCTTTCTTTCACAGATGACACGAAGCTTGGAAGAGCCATCAGTACACCACGTTGGAAATCAAAATGGCCATGGCCAGCAGGGAAAAAATGTCTGAACAAAATTAACATGTAATTTGACAAAGGACAACTTCACAAAAACAGAGATGATGGCTGCTTATTAGACTGCAATCTACTGGAAAGGATCTGATGGTCAATACAGATCAACTGATAGAACATCAATCGGCATGTTGTTGATAAAAAGACAGACGTCACACAAGTGGAGTCAGCTATGTTCAGCCTAACTCAGAACCCAGTTTTCTTACAGCTGGCTTTGGGACCAGCCATCCCCAAACAGCTACCGCTCCAAATGGGGTAATTATCATTGCAGCTGGTATCACTCAGCAGCCAGTAATAAACCATGAGTGGTTATCCTACTCAAATGTTCATTTCTTTTGCATTGTTAACATTTAGAGTAATATTGAATGAAAGGCACAGTGATAGATACGCCACTGATTTACTGGAGCAAAGAGAGTTCTGTTGCTCACTGAAGCACAGTGCTGCTCATAGGACATAATTCCTCATTTAAGGGGAAAAAATCATTTCATATCTGAGGAAGAGAAATAAACATAATGTTAATTATGAAGAATGGCAAAACTATGCTCTGAATAAAGAAGGAATAAAATGAGTTTTGGAGTGAGAGCCCAAAACCTCAACTGCTACTGTGGAAATATATATTTATCTCAAAATAAGTAGATGTATGCTTGTGTAAGTAAAGGAGAGATTTTCTTTCATTTCTTCACTCGTGTTCTACAAATGTGTGATTACGTTATTATATTTAGATATTACAAATAAATCCTTTTATTGGTAGTTTACCTTAACCTGTCTTTACTGTGTGGCTCAGCTACCCAGCACAGACCCCACAAGTGAGAAAGGTGCTTCCCCTCACATTGCACAGATCGGATTCTGGCACTGCAGGAATTGGATAGGACCCAAGTGAACTTCACAACTGCCCAGATTGGAAAAGACCTTTAAGAGTCCAACCATTAACCTATCACCGACAAGTCCTCAACTAAACCATATCCCTAAGCACTAAGTCCATACAACTCTCAAACACCTCCAGGGAAGGGGACTCCACCACTGCCCTAGGCAACCCACTCGAATGCCTGAAAGCCCTTTTAGTAAAGAAACTCTTCCTAATAACCAAACTGAACCCTCCCTGGTGCAACTTGAGGCCATTTCCTCTCATCCTGTCACTTGTTACTTGCTTGAACTGACCAATCCCCACAAACTCCTTTCAGGTAGTTGTAGAGAGCGATAAGGTCTCCCCTCAGCCTCCTGTTCTCCAGGCTGAACAACCCCAGTTCTCTCAGCTGCTTCTCAAGGTGTGTGCTCAAGACCCTTCACCAGCTTCACTGCCCTTCTATCTTCATGACCCACAACAACTGCAGGGGCTCTCTGACAATCCACAAGACATCAGAGCACACGCTTCTCCCTTGCAGCTGTCGGGGCGCAGGCCACAAGCAGATCTCCTGCTCACTGCTTCCTACACAGGTGGAGTCCTTGCTCACTCCCCCACCCCTGGGGAGCAGACTATGGGCTCAGAAACCTTTGCATTATTTCTAAGGTAGATGTGTGTACAGAAACACGCAAGGAAAGTATTACAATTACTACCAGACCGTGGGCATCTAAAACATATGGAACTTGCACTATTCAAGAAATTTGGACACTGTGTTCAGAATTCTTGAAATAATATTTGAGACCCAAATGCAAACACATTGCATTAAATAAGTTGTACCGGGTTTTGGTATTTTTGCTTCTGCTGTGTTTAGATTCCCATCCAATATAGAAGGTTTGGTCTCCATGTGTTGCCTCATCTAGTTGAGAGACGTCCCTGCCCATGACAGGGAGGTTGGATCAAATGGTCTCTAAGGTCCCTTCCAGCCTAGGCCATTCTATGATTCTACGAGGATTTCAGTTTTATTGCACAGATCCAGGTAGTACTCCAAGCCAGCTGATAAATGAGTTAGTGGAAACAGATTCAAGTGCTAGCATCCTTTTTACCATTCCTTACTACAAATATGAAAATTGGAAAGCAATACTAAACCACTAGTTACTTTGGTTTCTGAACCTTAAAAATAATGCTCTGTTCTTTTTGCTTTTGCATTTCTTCAGGGACTGGACAGGAAAGGTATCAACTATTGTCAGAGGAGAATTAAAAACTCAGTTGTGGCTTTGCTGCAAAATCCCAAAGATAAATAAACTTCAGAAGAAAGTGATTTGTAAGAAGTCTGTCTGAGGAAGTGGAAAGAATTGAATATAATCTCACAGTAAAATTCAGCTTCTGAAAACCCCATTCAAGAAAAGCATTTGTAAGTGGTTATTTGTAAGCTAGGGAAGTGACAAAGTAGATAGGACTTTTATTTCAATAACATGTCACAGTAACTGAATGTGTGTTAAGGTAATTAAATGTTCTCAGTGATAAAGAATGGAAACTTGGAAAGTAAAACTGTAACTTAAACTTCTACAAGACTTAAAGAGTTTTAAGTCAAGTACCTTTCCTTTTAAAGTAGGTAGTTTTTCTCATAATATCTCTCACTCTAAGAATATGCAATTTAAATAATACTTTAAGAGTTTTTTTGGATCATTAAGTAACATTTAGATCACAGAGGTTTTCCAGTATCAACTTTCGTAGCTAATTCATTAATAAAGGTGGGTGTTGGTTTTTTTTTAACATGAATAACATTAATATTGTAGTATGAAATTTTCTCTTAATATTAGAATTTTGGATTCTCTTCCTCTTTCAGAGTTTTATTTCAGCTATTCAGTACTGGACCTGTTTGAAAAATAAAAAGGATACACCACTATGATGAATCACACATTCTTCTAAGTTGTATATTTCTCCTATAAAATATTTAAATTCATATGCACATTTGCTTGCCTGTGCGAGACAACATTTCTGTTGTACTTTTATGAGGTCTCAGGCTACGCATTAGTTGTGTACTGATTGAAGTTTGGAGGGAATGTCTTCTAAATTTTAAATACCTCCATACCTCTCTAAATATGCCATCTAGTTTCTGAGAGTTTAAAGGAAAAACAACAAAATCAAGCTACTATTTAAGTGTGACCTACACAAAACCAATGCTTTCTCTACTACCACTGCAGAAACAAAAGCGGAAAATTATGCTAAAATCATACTCCAACACCTGCAAACACTGGAGCCATGGTTTAATCAATATTCTCTTATCTTTGCTCTTCAACAGATAAAGGCTTTAACATGTTAGGCAGCATGCTTTTCATAACCTAGACTTCAAAGCTTGCTCAAATCAAATATTTCCTTTCTGAGGGCTCCAGTAGACCTGGGCACATCCAAGAAAAACATTTATATGGCATTGTACTCAACTGCCTTCCTCACCTCTTCTCTTTCCCCTTCTCTCAGGGCTCTGTTACTTTTGAAATAATGCCACCACTGGGCTGAAAGCAAGTTAGACACAGAGAGGGTAATTAGACAACAACAAACTTCTGAATTGTACCTAGAAGGGACTTTCCTTTTGAGGATATGCTATGAGTATGCATTATTCATATTTTTCTGCTAGGCTACATGCACAAGTGTTTTTTTAACAGGGACACTGTAAGATACATTGTCCATGCATACAGAGATGATCGCTATGTTAATTTATTGTGACCCACCAGACAACACCTGTAGTACTGAAGGTAACTTGGCTTAAACAGACAAATTCCAGTCTTGTGAACCACTCTTTCTGTTGCAGAAAAAGTGCATAATTTTAAGATGAAAAAAGGCCAAGACTGAAGCTAGAACAAGGAGGTATGATTTGCCAAACTAGTAACTACCCACCTCTACCCTCTTGGTTTCAGCTGCACCAAAGAGGTCCAAATTCTTTCCAACGGGAGTGCAGAGGGTTGCTCCCATAAATGACAGATGAGATCAGAAATTGAAGGCGAAGAGGGAACTCTGGCTATTCCTACACACCATTCAGGAGTCAGACAATGCTCCTTATCTCCCCTCAATTTTTCTTCCTCCCTGAATTACGTCACCTGGAGCTACAGCAGGAGAGCAGCAGATTCTGAGACCACACGGATAGAACTCATTGGCCTGGCATGAGATTCATGGCACCACCATCCTCCCAGCTTCTGCCAACAGAGCTGGAAAAATGACCAATCTCTACAACCACAGTGAGTTAACATGGGAAAAAAAAGCATAAGTGAAAAAAACATATTACTGTCCTGTGTAACACAGACAACTTCTATTTGTATTATATACCTAAGTTACATGCTCCTCGAAACAACACAACTCTTTGACCTACATTTTAATATTACAGTGCAGAAATTTAACAATTAGATTCTGTCTGGCTGTAATAGAAAGGAAACACTATTCCTCTGGCATCTTGCTTTTAAAAAAAAATAAATTAAAAATGGCATGCAATTTTCAAAGAGATACATCTCAGATTAATGGACTGTCCAAAGAACCTCAGAGGAATAATGCTGCCCTGAAATGCAAAACAAATCAAATATCAGAACCAAAGGTCAGGAAAGGCTGTACTTACTCCTTATTCCTGCTTTTAATGCACGGCTGGTAAAGGACTTTGACAGCATTCCAGGTCCCCACTGGTACAGAACTAGGCAGGAAAATATCTCCAAACAGTGTAAAGCCACTGTGGGATGAGGAACTCCCTAAGGACTCCACCAGCAACGTGTCAGAATTTAAAAGCCATATCTATAAATGAAGAAATAATTTATTTTACTGTAGATTACATCAATTTCAATTTGTTCCTTTACTCTGATCCTAAATCAGCCGATCCTAAAGCCACATTCTTACAAAGTTTCTATCAAGGTGCTAACAGACATAAATTGACATTTTATTATTCAGCACAATCTGCAGAGCCTCTAGTGGAGAAAAAAGGGTTAATACAATAAACTGGGGTCTGATCTATCAGAGTCACTCTTCAGATCATTATTTCTGTGAAGTTGACTTTTTGTGGCTGCAGCACACTTCCTTTGATAGCTACAAAAGCAACAGTCCCAAGTCATCTGTTTCAGTACCAAATGGATTATTTCTCTAATTTCATAGTTATTTTAGGAATTAGTTGAGCATATGGTGTTGAACAACGGAGGCCTAAAGACAGAGAACTGACAGACTGCCCATTGGAAGTGCCAGAAATTAAGGATTTTTAGAAAAAGGATGATAATTATGACTAGATGAAGCTAAGGCATGCAAGGAAAAGGACAGTAATTAATGTTGTCTAAAAGGAAGGAAAGGATTTGCAAACAGCTGTAACAGGCCCTTACTTGGAAGATAAATCTTTACCAAATTTGATAATGAGTCTGGCATTCTTTAGCACTACCTGCTTAAAGCAATTCATAGGATATTTACCAGGGAGAGTCTTGAGAAATCTGAACCTTCTGCATCACATTATGGATCTTATTTAATCTTTGCATGATTGTATGTGAGTCTTCCAACTTGGATTCAGGGCTTTCATGCTAAGCACCACACAAAAAAGTCAGGCTTTTTCTTTATTTACAGCCTGCAGTAGTGAAGTGATCAGAGTTACCAACGGAAATTAATTTTTACAAGTCCTGAGCCTGTATTAAATGTTTATAGATGAAATATTTATCACAGAGGACAGGATTTTTGCAATGCTGCTCTCTAGAGAGTAATCTTCTGCTTCTCATGACCTAACCACGTTCACATAAAACAAGTTACATGATGTTAAGTTGCAGACATATGATATCCCCTGTAGAGGCAGAAAGCCACCATTAACAGGGTACACCCTACATGTTGTAATTGAATGTGACAGTCACAATTTATCAGAGCCCAAGGCTCAGAACATCACAATGGAAGTTTCATAAAGGAGGAATGAGATATATTGATAAAGATGACTTGGGAAGGGATGGGAGGAGGAGAATCACTTTAGCATATGCACATGAATGATGAGAAGCAACTGCATTTGGCTTAGCAAGTGGCTGTTCATCAGTTTTGCTCTGGTAACTCACTGTACACATTCACAGCCTAAACTGCAAAATACACCTCATTAGCTAGGACCATTACACACAGCACTTTAAGCCAAATATTGAAGAGCTGTTGCAGAGAATGGGGAAAAAAGAGAAGAACTGTACACACAGGCCACTGCCAACATGCTTAGCTTTAACTAAACAGAGATCCCTCCTTTTCAAACTGTTAACACTTCCCTGTGAAGGAGCCTCTTGGGACGCTTTTCAGAAAGGGAATATCCTTCAGACTAGTCTAGGGAACGTTGCAACAATTGTCTGCTCCCTTCAGAACCCTTCTGCAACTTGCTTTAGAGAAAGCAAACAAACCATTTCATTGGCAGCATGGTCCATTTGAAAAGTTCTTCCTTCTACCACAACTGTTGATATGTGGCGTCCGACAATAATATTCTACCATTTGTTCAGAGCATGTCTTCATCTCAACATCAACGCAACCAAACCGTATTAACACTTTAGCACTCAATACAGGGAACATGAATCTTTGCGGATGGAAGGACCCTTGTCCATGAGAATATCAAGTTCTGAACTATATTTCCTTCTTTAGGCAATAATTTCCTTCTTTTCCTCATGCATGAATTATTTTTTGATCTTGATTTTGGCCTGAATCACTCACCGAGACTCAGTGTGTTGACTCAAAGCAGTTTACACATGTAATTTCTGGCCAACATAGTTTCAAATTTTGATCTGTGCTTTCAACAATGCCGCTCACAAAGTACAGCCTTTTCTTCCTCCCTATAACTTTGTACAGCAGAGCTTGCACAAGTGAATCCCTTTGATATTAATTCAAGTAAGAAAAGAACCTTTCAAGAAAGATAAATGCACAAAGTACAGAATTCATTCATAGTGCAGATTGATGACCTTTTATGAAACGACAGCAACAGAAGAAAGTGTTTGATTTTTTAGTAGTGTGGTTTTTTGCTGTTGTTTTTTAAATCTCATTGTCATTACACTTCAAATATTTTCTTAGGAGAAAAACTGCAACAAATCTCAATTATAATTCATGGGACTTGATCGAAACAGGTGAAATACTATGATTTACATTCTGTGATCAGTTTCCTAAAATCTTAACCTGTGTTGCCAGCATCAATTTGTGGACAATGAAGTTGCATTTAAGATGGCTAAAAAAAACCTGTTTTTCTTCCTTGCTAGTTCTTTCTCAGTTACTGAAGACATTTCCATTACCTTCATTATCACACTCCAAACTCTACCATACACCTTTTGATTTTCACAGATGTGCCTTTCTGGGTTTTATCAGGTTGATCCCATCCACGGGGTGAATTCCCTGTATCTATCCACAAAATCGCTTATGTACTTCTTTCAAACCTATCTTCTTCTACAGTACAGAAAAAAATATGACACCAAGACACTGCTAGCTGACCAATAATGTACCATTTTGCTTGTGTTCTCCTATCTCATCTTTTGTTTGCGGTCCTAATTCTATCCTTAGGTTGTAAGTCATGCAACTTCAAGGCAGGGAACCCTTCAACAGCGGAGTAAAGAGGGGAGGCAAGTGATTCATCTTTTAGAGAATGTGGAGAGGGCAGAGATACAGTTAGGTTGAATAACGAAATCTCTATAGGCCACTTTTTTCCTCCTGAGAGAAGGAGACTTTTATTTATTTATTGCTATCCTTTAAAAAATACACATTAGTATACAGCTTTCAGGAACGTGGTTATCACCAACTTAAATAAAAACCCATATTATAATATCTGCAAATAACATAACTGGTAATATTAAGTGATATGTGCACAGGAAATAAGGAAAATTAACATATATGACACTTCTGTTTTAAAAAGAAAAAAGGTAAAGACTTGTGAGAGACTTTAATTATCATACGTGTAGCCTAAGCTGTGCGCATTCACATGTCTGAGCACAACCAATGTGAACGAGAATCTTTGGCTCGTGGTCAAAACAAACAGGTGGAACAGCTGGTCCATGATGCATCAGTGATGAGACCACTTGTCTAACTTGGCTGAGTACTCACAGCCTCGAGCACCTACATTTTTTACTGTTTCGCTGTTTGCAATCAGTACTACAAACAGTGCTTACATTACACCTGAGTCCTAAGACTTAACCTGTGACTCCGGAACACCTCTTGGTGCATGTACAGTACCTAGAACCTCAACCTAGACATAAGCAAGGGCTTTCTGATCTCAAACACAACTAACTCACTAACTCACTGATACAAAGGAAGTGATGCCAGTCAGAAGCCAGCCCCTATGTTAATTCAGCCTGCCCTTCTAACAAACACACTGGCAAAAATGCAACTCGGAGCTAAAAGTAACGGCAATCTGCGAAATAAGGTGATTTTTCCTTAGAAAGTAACTAGTTTGTGCTATATAAGCTACTACACTTAAGCATCAGAATATTAGGTAACTTGGAAACACATAAGCTACAAGCAAAAAATCACAACTTAATGACTCCTTAATTAGATTATACATAGTGACAATTATGAACCTGCTTTTGAGACCTTATTTTATCATCATAGAAGTAGTATTTCTCAGAGGTTGTAAAAATGTTACCTCAGCACTAAAACTTATTTTAGAGCAACAGATACACATTCACCTCAGAATCTGGATGTTCAGAAATTACAGAACTTGGACAATATATATGTAAAAGAGTTGACTTAATTAGATTGCCTACCTCAACAAAGTGGATCTATAAATTTATCCAGGAAAGGAATCTACAATTAGGTATTTTTTTATCTTTGCGTTACTCGTACAAACCGCAAAATTACAAATTCCGTGCCTATATATAGTTCAAGAATAAAAGAAAACATCCCTGGTTATACTACATGTACAGCATTAAGGTAATTCCAGACTCCAATTCCTATCCATCTTCAGGAATTTATCTGCCACTATTTAAATATCAAGCTTAACTAAATTTAATAGCATTAGAACATTAAGCGCAATAGGCAATTTTATTTTTTGTTTGCACTTCACTTTGCAATGCTGACTACGTTACCAGTTCCTGCTAACTTAAGACAGTATTTGTGAAAGATGCTATACAATTTGATGAACTTCTGGTGATTAAAGCTAAGAAGCCCTGGAGCAAGAAGATGAGATATATATATATTATGAAGTCAAAACTTAAGCTTTCCATTATTTTCTGAAGACAAAACAGTGTTATTTCTGTGGTTCATCTGTAGTTCTTTTACTACTGTACTAATAGAGAAAATTTCTGTATGTACTTCTACTTAGATTAAAAAAGTAGGAAGAAATTTCCTACTTTAACAGAACTCTTCAGAGCTATTTCAGGAATTTGTATTTGTTAATTTTTTTTTTAAATACTCATGAATGGCAAAAATAATGCATTTTAGGAGACAGGGACTCATTAGTTAAACTTCTCCAGCAGGATAAAGATTTTTTTAAAAACTTACCAGAATATAGATTTTTCCATTATCCCCTTCTATGGTGAATCTAAATGTGCTTTTAGCAGAGGACAACTCCACAAGACACTGGGCAACCATGCTTTGTACAAATTGAGACCTGTGTAAGAATTAGTCACATATTATATAACACCTACATTGGCAAAGTCATTCACATCTGTCCTGGTCTGAGCTAAACAGAACCAATTCTGTGTAGTGATTTTTACTTTTCAGCTCAGTCTCTTCTAAAAGGCTGCACTTTCTGAAGTTCGCAGCATGTTTTTGCAGACAGTGTGTGCTACTGGCAGTGATAACACCTGATGTTTGCAGTTACTGCCTGGGACTGGGATGCAGAAAGGCTCTTGCCGATACTTATTCCTGTAGTGACCAAGGTCACTGCTGGCTCTTGTGTGCCACACTGGGGGTGCTGGGAAGTAAAGGTTGAAAGGAAGTAAAAAGATCACTCCTCTGGGGAGGAACAAACAGGACAGGTGACCCAAACTTGACCAACTAATTCTCCTCTTCTGCTGAGCCTGGAGCTTTTCCGGTGCCTGCCTGCTCTGCAGCATCAGTGGTGATTGCTACTGGGGTGGGTGGGAAGCTGGGCTCAGTATTGGTTTTGTATATATTTGCATATATTTCATTATTTACATTAGTATTGTTATTGCTTTATTAAAGCTGTTTTAGGGTGTCTTTTTTTTCAGTTTGTAAGTGTCTCTGCCCTATTCCCTTTCCTTTCCCATTTGGGGAAGGGAAGAGTGGTTAAAGTGCATCTGTTATTCATTCAGTGACTGGCACAGCCCTAACCCTTGACAAGATTTGTGCAGAACAAGTACATGAGTATTTCCATATTGTGAATTCCACTACAATCTGCAATCATTCTTTATCAAGGGATGGGGCTTCTTTATCTTTCTCTCCCTCAAAACCAGGGAATCTTCTATTTCCTACAACAGGGATTTTTTCAATAGATCAGCTGCCTAAATTGCTCCACATCCTTTATTTTCAGCAACAACAAATGCCAAATGCTGAATAAAAGCTTGTCCTTATTATTTTTTACACATATGAACAAAGTTGGGAATTATGCACATATTTCAGATACCATTCACAAAAGAACTGTTAATAATGCATAGTACATGATGCAAGATAGCCAGATCAAGTTCTGTTTCATTTTAATCTTAACTTCAAACTGAATTACTTGAAAATTCAAAAATCTCACCTCCAACTAAACTCTACTTAATTTAAATTTAAGCTCTACTTAATTTAACTTTACTTAATACAACCTTCCATTTCCATAATTAGTCATGAGATATCATACAAACATAAATAGTTCAAAATAAGTAAGTATTGTATTTTGGCTTATCACATGAATAGTGAGACTCTGTGACATACGCAATCTCTGGCATCACACACAAACAGACACAAAGGCAAGCACACATAATTGTACTAGTGGATTCAGACTACATTACCTTTACAACGCTTAACTATATGATTAATGCATAAAATTTTACAGCACTTTTTAATTATATACTATTTATTATCTTATTATTCAAGAAACTGTTAGCGCATTTCCAGTATCCTTTCTAAAACATAAACCTGAGTGAATTATCTGGATTTTTTTATCTTTTTTCGTTACCTTGGTGTTGGGCTGAAATTTTCCTCAGATGGTTGAATAATTACCTCAGTGACATAATATTTAATGGTATCTAAAATGACAAAAACATTTTTCAAGTACAGCAGAACAATTGACTTGTTAGGAGTAGACTGTAAGTCATCACATCACTATACTAATTAAACTTTTGTTCAGCACTTAATTAAGAGGTCAAATTGTGGGAAGAGAAGCAACCAATAACAGAAAACATGCATCGCCAGAAGAAAACTGCTCTGAGCTAATTACGTGATCAGTGATTCGTGATTCATATTGATCCTTGTTTAATGCTGGGAACAATCACCTTGAAGCAAAGCAAGCAAAATCTCAAGCCAAACCTGAAAGATGAATTGAAATAACTTTCCTAAAGCACTGAGATCAGCATAGCTTACGTAAGTATTTTATGCTGCTCAGTAATGCTGCAGTGAATCACAAGAGACAGTTTTAATAACAGCACACACGGGAATAATTTTCTTCTTTGCTCAAAGAGCAGAATAGAACTTCTTTCCAAAAATCGCACTGACTTGACGCTATTACAGCACCCATTCTGAGTTTCAATGTAACCGTTCCGCAAAAGCTCCATTAAGACAGCCTTTACAAGCACAGAATTTAATCCCCAACAGTAAAGTCAGGTCAAAGATGATCATATTGAAGTTCTGAGTCTATGAGACAAACACAGCCTAACCAGAAGGCCAGCAGAACATGTTAAGCATATAGAATAATAAATTAATTCCACTAAGCCTTAGTATGTGAACAGTAAAGACTGATCAGCTCCACAAATTTTAAGGGTGGAAGAGATTGTCTCATCTGATCTCCATCCACATGCACCATTAAAGCTGCATGAAAGTGAGCATTTCAGAGAGATAATCTGTTTTAAAGATTCCAAAGGCTTAGCAATCCTACATCTTCTCCAGAGTAACTACACTTTTTGAATTATCCTCACTATTAGGAAATTGTATTTCACCTCTAAGTTTAATTTTAGTCTGCTCCATGCTGTGCATACTCCTGGGAGACAGGAGGAAAAGAAGCCAGTTCAGTCACTCTAGTTCCCCAGCAACGTTACCCTGGGAAAGGAATCGGTGCTAATGCTGCAAGGGCACTGGGAATTAAGACGTTTGCTTGCAGAGAGATAGAAGGTGGGATTTTTCAAGAAAAAAAATCTAAGTGTTTATGAGGAGAGACTTGGGGGAAGGAATAGCTGACAGGGGAATTTCAAAGCTAATTTGAGTCTCCACAACTACACCACTCTAATCCAGCTTTATCCTCAAGGCACTGATACGTGCTCATGAGGAGGCACCAAAGCACGACAGTCTGGCCTGCTCTCCAGCCTCTTTTCACAGAGATGGTTCTGTCTAGACTTACATCACTGGTTAGTTTTTTTTGGTCTGTTCTTTCAACTCTATGTAAATTTCCTACAGTACCAAAGAAATGTGATCAGAATAATGAACATGCTATCTAACTTCAGCTATGTACAGAGTCCCGACCAAATCCCTGCACATCTACACATTATTTGCCTTTTCCCATACTCACTGATCACATCAGTTACTGGCTGCTACAGTCATCTGAAGGCTTAGATTTAGGAATCCATTATTCATGATGATCTATGAAAGCTCTTTTCCAAACACTGCTTTCCAAAAGTCACAACCCGCTTTGTGGGCTTTCAAATATCTTAACCTTAAATTTGCTTTTATTAAAACCCTATCTACTCAGGTCCCTGTGCAGGACAATAAGAACCTTCTGTAATGGAAGATCTGTCTTGCATCTCCTCCCGACTTACTCCTTAAACAGGCTTTGCATTTTCTGAGAAGTTTTTACAGTCTCCAGATCTCTGAACTGAGCCAGGCTCACGCTGACTGATGCAGCAGAGTGGAGGAAGAATGAAAGAATGAACCCTGCTATTAAGAGCCTTATCATTGCTCCTTTTCTGTTAATAAGTGCATTTTAAAAACCAGCTAGAGACTCATCTTTACTTCAGGTAAACCCTGCTGATTCAATATGATGACAGCTTTTAAACCAATAATCTTATCATCTCATCAACGGATGATGGTTAGAGATAACCCGTTTCCTTGTCAAGGCTTCCTTTCCATGAAACTAGGCTGGCTGTCAGGAATCATATTTTTAGCTTCTAGTTCTGTGCTGATCAAGTTCTGAATTAACCTTTCCATCATTCTGTAAGACTGATAGCAAAATAACCTGTCATTTCTCAGGTCTCCCTTCTTACTGGAATTCCTAGCAAACTGGAATTATGCATTGAGTCTTCCAAAACTTCGGAATTAGCCAAATATGACACAGAAACAATGATAAGGAAAATCCCTGTTGTAAGTCACGTTCAAGGTCTAATAGTGGAAGCAACAACCTCATCTGTTCCAAAAGGGAATGAGACAAGCACCCAGGAATTAGCCCTGCACCCTACTGAAAAACTACTTCTCTCCAGAGTTTTTAACTTCAGTGCTCAATGGCTCAATGCACCAAGGTCTAGTTTGGTTTGTACATCCCATACCTGATGATACTGTTTCTCCCAGTGTTGTCTTGCAGCGCTTACAAATTGCTCTGGTATTTTCCTTTGATTTCTGTAGGACAAAGAAATGTCACTTAAATGCCAGTTACTTTGAAAAAAAAAATGTATAATTTTAACATAATCTCCAGCACAGGTAGCAAACTTGTATCTGTTTCTGTTCTATTTTATGTTTACGTACATACAGATTTGCATTCACTACTTCAGCATTCTACACCTCCGCTTCCTTGCAAGTTTCATACTAGTTTTAAAATCTGTCAATATATACTGACCAGACAGCACATCCTGTAAAAGCTAAGAGGAGAATCCCATAATGTTGAGTGACTGGATGATAAGTTAAATTCCATTTTGCTAAGGGCAAAGCAATGCTCATAAAATATGCAACAATATACATAGAATATAGAATCATAGAATGTCAGAGGTTGGAAGGGATCTCTAGAGATCATCTAGTCCAACCCCCCTGCCAGAGCAGGATTCCCCAGGGCAGCCACACAGGAATGTGTCCAGGTGGGTTTTGAAAGTCTCCAGAGCAGGAGACTCCACAACCTCTCTGGGCAGCCTGTGCCAGTGCTCTGTCACCCTCATAGTAAAGAAGTTTCTCCTCAGGTTGAGGTGGAACTTCCTATGTTCTAACGTAAACCCATTATTTCTTGTTCTGTTGTTGGGCACCACTGAAAAGAGATCGTCCCCCTCCTCTTGACACGCACCCCTCAGACATTTATATATGTTAATAGGATCCCCTCTCAGCCGTCTCCTTTCAAGCCTAAACTGCCTCAGTTCTCTCAGTCTCTCTTCATAGGAGAGATGTTCAAGTCCCTTAATCATCCTCGCAGTTCTCCGTTGGACTCTCTCCAGTAGGTCCCTGTCTTAATTATGCTGCAATGTGACTACCTCAGTAAGAAGTTCTAGCCACTATGGACAGTTTTACAAGAATACAGAATCAGTGAGATGACTACTGTGAAAATGGATCTATACAATATGTTAAAAATTTGGAAAATGGATTCGAAGACTACTGCAAAAGTAATTTCTAGAAAATAAATACACCTTAAAAACAAAAAAGAGATACAGAGTGGCAATTCATGAGACAGCAAAGAGTCAGGATGATTCGCCACTGAAACAGCTTGCCAGGAAACTTGGTAAGCTTCCATTATTTGAAGTGTTAAATCAATACTGGACATCCTTCTCAAAGCTATAGCTCAGATAGAACCAATAGACTTGATGCTGCAAATACTTAACAGAGTTCTCTGATCTCTGTGTGCTATGCAAATAATAAAATCAACAGAAAGGACCACTCTAGCTCCACAAAAACCTGAAAGCATCCCACACAGAATCTGAACTCACGATCCCAAAGTCCTGCTTATTCCTCACAAATCAGGAATCAAACTAAAAGCCCCAGGGAGAGCCCAACAGCCTCTGACAAAACTTCACAACTGGCCACGTACAGCCCCTTTGTTGTGGAGATCAGAAAAAACATCTGATTCAAATATATGAACTTATCCCCTTTCCCAATTCCTACCTTGCTACTCCTCTCAAACTTACACCGCAAAATTCCTTGCTTAACACGAAGAGCTAGGATAAGTAGACAGGGCTTTGTGCAAAAACGGTATTTAACGTTGGTAAAAATGCTGCACACTACAAGTGTATAATATACAGTACTTTCTTGAAAGCTACAACTTGAGATTTTTTTTCTGACTACAGTCACAGAACTGTGCAGTACGTTAACTAAAAAACACTGCTAACTCATTGTACCGTGCTTCAGTGGAAAAAGTGATAGTTTTAGCTAGACTAATTAAATCAATATATCTATTTGACAACTTGCAGCTGCTGGCAATCTGCAGATGAAGGTGGATCACCAACCTAGTATTTTGTTTCTATTCCTAAGGATCCCTGATATGGTGTCAGGGAAAATATTTTGCCCAAGAGATACTATTAGGATTCTGCAAGACCATGTGACATTTAAAAACTATGTTACACTGGAAGACTAACAGATGTGAAAAATACGTTTGCAGTGGACAGATGCTGTCTGGGTCCCACTGGAGGCTGGAAAAGATTGCTTAAGCATCTCTGGTACATTCCT